CATCTCCAAGACGGTCAGGGTTCCTCCAAGATGTTGGCGTCCTAAGCTACCAGCCAGCACAGCGCGGTGCCATTTCAACCGTTTGGGAATAACACCCTGTGCCTGATGGCCATAGGTGGCACATGTCATGATGGATCCGCGCACAACCCTCGTGCGTGAACAATGCGAATCAACACCTAAAGCACGAAGGCGCGTGTGGCGGCCTTGCGCCTTCTTGTGCCTGCCCAGAGAGGTGGCAAGCCTGCGGCGTCTGCCAGCATTGCTGTCAACCCCTAAGTCTTTGGCTAACAGAGTAATGCCAGGATCTTGGTCCGAACGCAGACGCGCAAGAACTTGAGAGGTGGCAGAGTCTGAGCAAAGAAACTTGGTTTTTTCCAAGGAAACCTGAAGATTTCGTTCCGCAAGAGAGTCTCGCAGTATACGAAATGTCTTGAGGGCTTTGTGAGCCGTGTTAGAAGCAGTGGACCCTACCACGTCAGCCGAAATGTCATCCAGCCACTGGTCGATGTTGTGAGTGAGGCCAGTAGCCTGAAGGTCCCTGATTGGGACAAACAAAGCCAGTTTCGAAACCACCGGCGCAACAGGGCAACCCTGAAGCAACCCAACTGTGGGAACGATTCCCGGCGAAACCGAATTTTCGGCTGAGACAAATCGTGTCCCACCATAAATTTGAAGGGAAAGCTCCAAAAGCAAAGGTGGGAACTGCAACAGGAGTCCGGTGTCGACTACCGAGGCCCAAACTACACAATCATAGAAACCTTTGATATCAAGAAAGAGTCCTACAAAGTGTTTGGACTGAGTTCGGGAGGCTTCGGCCCACAGCAACCGGCGGATGCCGATGTCTAAAGATGTTCGACCTGGCACTGCGGCATCCCAAGGAGCCAGGGCCTGGTAGGAGACCGTCCACTCTTGGATCAGGGACCACCTGGCTCTGCAGTAGTCCCTACACAAAACGTGAGTTAAAGAGATAGGTCTCTCAGCAGTAGCCGATTTGGGCAGCATACAAACTTGTGTCAGGAGAAACTGCTGCGGGACTCGGAGGCCTCTTTCGAGCTCCTGATAAAATTCAGCGATGTCCTGAAGCATTGGCCAAGTCAATTTCCTGAGAAGGGACTTGCTCCAGCCATCCGGTCCTGGGGCAGTGACCCTGCCTTTGGAAAACCTTTGTTGCAGCTGTTCCGGGGAAATGGGGCTCAGGGTAGCGACCTGCTGAGCAGCCAGTTCCCGTAGCTTTCCGCGAGCCTGTTGCTCTGCGTGTGGAAGAGGAGGAAGGTCCTCAACTCTAAGTACGCCTTTCCACGTGCGGAGCCATAGTTTGGTTCTAGCCAGGGCGCGGACCTCTGCGGACAGATCCCGAAAGGGACGTGCAGTGGTGATTTCACCTTTTTTGATCGTCTTGAAAAGGGGGGCCATCCCTTTTTCTTGGGCTCCCTGCAACCACGACCTGTACGACTTGGTCTGGGCATCCTGGTGAACTTTAGAGGCCAGCAGAAATTGCTCCTGCAATAATTGCTGGACGGGCTCGGGAACAGCAGCCTGCTCCGAGAGACAGGCCTGGAGCGTAGAAAGAAAAGAAACAGCCTCCTCCGAGTTGCCCTGCCAGTGGTCCAGGATCTGCGGCAAATACTCCTGGCATTGACTACGCGAGCTACCTCTCGACGGTGGGTTCGGTTACTACCCTAGTCACAAGAATTGGTTACAGGGGTGCAAAAAGCCTGGCAGAACAGGAGAAGTAGCAGATCTCAGAGAAAGGGACTGAGAGGAGACGCTGAGCTCATTTCGGGGAGAAGGGGAATTAACGAAAGCTTGGCGGAAGAAAGAAAACGAAGGACCAAACACCCTGGTTACGAGACAGAGGACGAGATGGGGGTGTATTGTGCCCCCAACACGGAGCTGTCGCTCAATAACCGCCTGTCCGGAAGCTAGGAGAGCTGTTCGAAGATCAAAGAGGGGTCGACCGAAACGGATGGTACCGGGGGGGGGGCAAAGAGGCGAGGGTCTCCTCAACCTGCATGTAATCAAGCGGTTCTTCCCTGAAGGAAAGCACAAAGGAGGGAAGCTGTGGAGGGGTGAGCTGGAAAGCGCCCACATTAAGGGCAACTTGGATTGCTGCATGTGGCTTGAAAGGAACATCCCAGGAGGCATCAACCCGGAGCAAACCTTCCAGGCAGTGTGATACAGCCAGAAAATCAAGCTCATTGTCACCACATGTGGCTTTGTTGGGCCCAATTGATTCAAGGGACAAACTTTGAAAAATGGCAGTGTCCAACAAATCCTTCAAAGGCGAGTTCCAGTCTCCACCTATCAGGATTGGGCCCCTCACAGATTGACGAATTGCGCGCAGAGATGCAAGGATGTCAGAGTTGACCGGGGACCCGAAGCCGGAGGAAGACTGGAGGTACAGGCTAACTACTGTCAAGTCAGCCCCTTGTGTGCGTAGCGTCACCGCCACGTAGCCACAACCTTGGTTGGTATACTGACCTCGCAAACGGGCTCCCAGGTGGGCTCTAACTAAAACCCCAACTCCGCCCCTAGAGCTATTCCGTCGGCCTTCCCCAGGGGCTGCGGGCAAAAGGAAGGAGTCGAAGCCCATGGCAGCCATAGACGAGATTTCAGCAACAACTTGGGACTCCAAAAGATGGTGCTCCTGAATCAAGATAACATCCCCTTGAGCTGAAAACCATTGCTTGACTTCTGGTCTCCAAGAAGTAATGTTGCAAGATGTGATTCGCATTTGCCTGTGCCCCTGTGGCTGCGATTTGCACAAAACTTCAAAGCCCCGAGCAACAAGCAAGAGCAAAGTTAAGTCAAAAGAACGTTGGAGGGCCAAGATCTCCTGGCACAGCCACCAACCTAAGCTGCCCTGCTCAACCTGATCAAGAAGGTGGCCAACCACCTCTGAAGTTGCTCCCAACAGATCTGGGTTCTGGACAGCCTCCCACACCTGGCCTTCGAGCGTTCGCCACTGGCTGTGTGGGCTTGCCAAAGGTGGCACCTCAGGTGGCATTTCACAAGGGGCAAGCTGAGAGAAGGGTACCCTAATGTGTTTGGGCTTTTTCGCTCTGCGTCTGGTTTTATTACGTTTGCGGGTGACCCCAACCTCGGCATGGCTCCCCGACGCCTGTAAGCGAGGAAACTCCTCAACTTGAGATGCCGTTGCTGAGGTTGTGGCCACAAAAGCAGAGATTGGAGAAGCACCGGTCACAGGGACCTCATCAAACTCAGTTGTCGAGAAAGATGGGGGCCAGAATTGGGGCCCTGTGATGAGTTGGGTGTCCTGGGACTGCAGCGGGGTGCTGTGGCGCAATCCTTTGGTAACAGTCTGCCAGGCACTCAGATCCCCACAAGAATCCCATTCTTCCTGACCAGAAAAACCTGGTAACCAAAACTGACCCCATACAAGGTCGTTGTTGCAAAATTGTGAGTAAGCCTCAACATACCCTGAAACCTTCTCTAAGGACTTGGGCTGCTGAGGTTGGCACTCCCCCAATGAAAACAAATCACTGTACAAAGAAATGGGTCTCTTAACCTATTCGCCGGAAAACCCGCATGGCTGAGAGCTGGACGCAGGGGCACAGGAAACGTCTTGATCAAGCAGAAGGGCAGGCTGAAATGCACAAGCAGGTTGCCCACTCTCCCCACTGAAAGGACCTTCCTCGAAAACAGACCTAACCTGGACCCCCAGCCCCACTCCCTAACCTTGCTGCGTGCTACGGCCTCGGCTCCTGGACCTGGGCTTGGCTTGCTCATGCGGCTCAGTGCCCTTGTGTTCTGGCAGAGTTTGGCTCAGCGGGGCACGGGTCGGAGCCGTCAAACCAGGCTGGTTTGTGGCTTCAACTTCCAAAATCTGCTGCCCATCATTATGCTTGCCGCGCTGGGCCTCCTCGTAAAGCTCCTTCTGCTCCTGGGTCAGGACAATTCCAACTTTGGCAAGCGTATCTAGAAGCCCTTCCAAGGGATCGTCCTTGCGCGCGGGGTCCTCCAGACCCGAAGCATCAGCACGGAGTGTGGCTTCCAACTCCGACTGCATAGCCGTGACTTCAGCTTGTTTGCTCTGCAATTCAGATTGGCAAACCTTCATCTTCTCAAGCAGCTCCTGGTAGGTTGCTTTGGCGCGGTCTATGCGAATCTGTAAGGCAGCAGTTTGCTGGATCATCTGTCGCAAGTCCGTAGTGCTCTGCTTAAAGCGACGAGTTGCAATCTCAATCTGCTGAGTCTGCGTGGGGGCCGGAGGATCAAGCGCTGCAAGGGCTTGCTGGATCGAAGGCGGCATTGACTCCAAGTGCTTCTTGCAAAGGGCCGCAAGGTCTGTTGGCTCCGACGCAACCGGCTCAGGGATGCCAGCTTGGCGCATCAGCTTCTTCTGATCATCAGACGCAGAGTCCCACAGGTTCTTAGAGGCTTCGGCCTGCTCGTCAAGCCCACCCTTTGCCCCGTTGCCTTTTCCAGACTGGAGGCCTGGAGGCGGACTCGGCTGCCGGCCTGCTTGGAAACCTGCCTCGCTCAGTTCCTTCTGGACCTCTGGGGGAAACTTCTGCCAAAGTGTCGTGACGGCTGATTCCTAGGCCGTTGGGGGCTTTGGGTGGCACTCTCAGTGGTTGCGCTTCTGTCCCTGTTCTTCTTGGGACCCCGCGGGCGCAGTCTTTGAGTGACCGGAGCACCCTTTGTCTTCCATGCGTTGCCACACAGGTTGCAAAAGGGGTGGTGCTGGACTCTGTCTACGAAAATCCAGCTCTGCTTACCCGCCCTAGAGCAATGAGGACAGACGATGTAGGGCGTTGCTGCACCCTTGGCACCGTTTTTTCCCCAAGTCATGGCGAGCAAGCTCAACCTGTGACAACGGCTGAGCAAGTGTTCGGCTTGAAAGCACGTGCAGTATGGCGCTACCCCGCCCCAACCCTTGCTGGACAGCCAGCCTACGACCCTTAAGGTTGCGGTTTGGGTTCCAGTCAGGGCCTTTAGCAAAAGTAGGGACTCCAGGCTAAAAGGCCACGTCGGCACTGCAAAGTCTGAGCCGAAAACTTGAGCCATTGCTACAAAGAGTGCTCCTCCTCTTGAACCAAAACACTGCAGGAACATTGTGATATTGCGAGTGATGACATTGAGATGAAGCACACCGATGACAAAAACATCAAACAGATCAAGCCAGCATCCACTGAAAATCATGTTTGGAATTGTCACAACATGCTGTACATTCAATCTGTTTTGCTGGGGGCCGGCCCACTGACGATTTGCATCATATCCTTAGTACAAGTGCGGGCGCATTTAGGAAAAGAACACACACACACACACACACCCAGCTCCACAATGCAAATCTGTGTGCAGGGCTTGTCTGTCTATCACACAAAGCTCTGGATAACAGGGATTTACAAATCACAAGCACTGGCAAAGATGTGAAGCCTTGCAACACAAAGAGATGTTTTGCCAGCAATGCCACAAGCTGCCAGCAGAATCAGTGAAACGGAATCAATCCTCATCACCTTCTCCATTTAATTCACCACGTTGTTGGGAATCAGCTGTGGACCTCCGTCTGACGTCGTCAAGGATGGTACGCCTTATATCCGTCTCGTTGTACCAATCCACTATGCACAGTGTGCAATAATGGACTTGGTGTCCCCATTTTGTTCTCATGCAAGGTTGATCGTGCATCTCACAATTGAACAAACAGCTTCCTCCCCAATCGCGATGACCACCGGGAGACAAAGAAGCTCCTGCTCGGTGTGGACAAAATCGGTTCCCCATTGCAATGGCCGAACCAGCAGCAGCAAGTAGCCCTATTGCAAAGAAGCTTCACTGACTCACTTGACAAATAGTAAGGCTGCGAATCAGCACAGACCGACAGGTGACAGTGTCCTATTTAACATTCTGAGAGCACTCAACTGGTCTCCGATCAAGCATGGCACATCTTCCTGAAGAATTGTACACATCACAGACTTTTTGACAAACACGCACACACACTCTCTCTGGAACTGTTCTCCTGGTCTGTCCACACTGCGCAAGCAAGTGACTGAAAAGAAACATTGAAGTGTTTTGGAAACCTCTGCAAGGTCCAAGTTCATTCACTCAGATGAACATCAGATTGAACTTCATCTCGTTGAGATGCTGTGTCACAACTGAAAATTGCTTCCAATTGTGTGACACGATTCCGTAAGGAAATAATGGCTTCATCAGTGCTTGTGATGAACTCACTCAGCAATCGCCAAAATTGTGGGTTGTTGCCAAATTCAACAAAGCCCGGGCTATTCGATGACACAGCTGATGACTCAGAAGCAGGAGATTCTGTCGCCACCTCCGCCAAGACCCGCAGAAGAGCGTCGGCACGCTCTGCTCTCCTCTCCAGAACCCTCTCCACTGAATGTTGCGACATGCTGTGCTAACTAAATAGGACTGGCAATACGCTTGAAGCCACAAACCTGCAGAATGGTTCAATTCCACTCACATACCAAAGCATTACCGGCAGGTCAAGAAATTTGAACAGGAGACTATACACTGCATTATTTATTGGGACGCAATGAAAAAAAAAACAATAAGCCAGACTTAATAATCATGCAGAACGGCCTCCCAAACTAACCCAAGGGCCGCCACGGTGTGGGTTCCCACACTCATTGTGGAAGCACTGCCAGCAAGCACATTAGCTCATTGTCCTGCTCAGGTTGCACCCCCAACCTGTTGGACACAGCAGTGCTGTGCTTATTAGCACAGGCCCTGGGTGCCCCACACCCGGCCAGCGGTGTGAAAGGGTGACTGGAGCGGGTGGTCACCCCTCTTGGTAGGGCCAGACTTCTGCTGCCGAGCTGCACGACTATTAACTCGAACACACCTGCAGACATGCACAATTTGCCGAACTACACTGTTCTGCCAATTCTGTTTTGCACACACAGACATTCATCAGTGGCAGTGAAACCTTGTCAATCTAAGGATTACTACGAACAATTCTCACAACATGACCTGTGGCATAGCTTGTCACCGGAAAGTAGTATGGCAGATGAATCCCACATTGTACAAGATGGAATGTGTCCGGCTTCAGCCACCTGTGGTGAATAGTCCAGAGCTCTGTTGCAATCTTGTACTTGACTCGGTCGATCAAGTCCGTACTCGAAACCACCAAGTGACTAGAATATCCTTGGAAATTGTTCACCCAATCAGGATCCATAACAATATCCACCCGAAAGTTTTGTGCGGCAAAGGTCAGACCCGCTTCTGCAGCCTTTCGCTTTCGCTGTTCCAACATGGCTTCAGTCATGTCATGTGATACTTCGAAAACTATTGTGAAACTGCATTCTGAGCCTGACAGCTCCCAAGACAATTTGCCAACATGCATCCGGTTTTGACAGTCTGAACTAGGCTTGGCTGCTTAGGACACGGCGAAGAAGAGCTTCTGGGTGTCCAGGTCGGAAGAAGCCTGCAGGACAATTGCACTCATGTACCTTGAAGGAGAGCTGTGCCATGCCAGATGATGCTCTTTGCACTGACACTGTTTAGTCAGGCAAAGTCCCACTGGATGACTGCCCATACTGTTTCCTCTTGTGATGCTCTGATGGTTTTTGGAGCAATCTCAACAGCACCATCAGCTTCTCTAGAGGAACTGACAACATGTGAAACAAACCCAGACAGAGGTCCACACCACCAATCTTGCAGGACTTGAATAGACTTAGACAGCAGATCAAATGCAATATATGAATCAAACACAACAGTTGTGAGTTCTGGGCCCCGGCCAAGTGCTCTGCTCAAGCTGGTTCGCCTCAGACCACAGCAGGAGCTAAATGTTGCTGAAGTGTTTCCACAATTGGGGAGTGTAACACAATTGAGTCAAGTCTTCTCAGCCAAGGCCAAGCAAAAACTGGGGGGCTTCATTTCCAGACTTGTCAGTCCCAGTCAGTGAAACTCAATTGTCGTTCAATTGTCATTGTTCACTTGCAGTCGTCTGGCTTCTTCCCGCCAGAGCCGCCATCCATCATCTAAATCTGTCTCATCCACACTGTCACGATCTGTGTCAGGCTCTTCCTCCGGACGATGTGCACGTAGCTCTCTCTCAGTAGCCACACTGTCAGGATCTGTCTCAGGCTCTTCCTGCGGTTCATCTGGAGGAAAAACACGCCGACCGCGCGTGCCAGGAATGTGCAGAATCTGATGGGTCGGGCGGGTCAGGGGAAAGTGCTCGTTCCGATGGAAATAGCTGCGACGACTTGCGTGGATGATATATGAAGCAAACTCTACCCCGTACTCTTGTGCTTCGTCCCACATGTTGCTCTGGAGCACAACCCAGCTGTCGGCTCTTTCCAGCCTTTGAACATAATCGATATTCCTCTGAGAGTGAACGAGTGTCCTGAGGCAGTGCCGCATCCACCTCCTGACCAGCTCCGGTTCACTCATAACCCGGCATCTGCGAGCACGACGGCAAGTTGTCCGAAAATTGCAAAGGCAGTTCACAGTGAGCAACTCGTGAGTCACATGAAGCCAATAGTAACCATCTTGCAAATTCACTAGATGGTGTACCGACATTGCACCCTCTTGTTTGTTCATATCGTCATGGCGGTCAAGGCGGTTGATTCGCCATCGCACTGGTTGCCACGGATACTCGTGCCTCCAAAGAGGACGATTGACATCATAATGCAAAACGTGATCGATCAATATGGGGCGTTCCTGTGGCAAAATTGGCGGATTGTTTGCCCTGAGTCGTCTCATGCGCTCCTCCTCCCAGCCGGACAAAACGTAACCATTGAGATTCGTCCTGTAAAAATGCCTGTTTCTTCTGTTCACTTGCAGTCTCTCCGGCGTGTCGGATCGGTTTGACTCGGACCACGGGGGGAGTGGGCTTCGAGGGCTGCTGGATCTGCTCCTGGAAAAGCGACGCCAATTGAAATTAAACGGCGGCGGCAACGGCGGCTGCAAGGGCGAATTGCTCCGGCTACGGCCCCTTTGCATGTTTCTGCTGTTTCCTTGAAACTGTCCAGCCCATTGTCACTGGAGCTATCCGCTGACTCAATCAACGATTGAGTTGCTACTGTTCAAGATCCTTCCTTGCTCCATATGTAGAACCGTCCAGTTCTCAGCGCTTCACAATTGATCTGAGACACGACAATTGTGACACAATTCATGGACATGCAATTCATTTCCACAAGCATCACTGGACAAAGGACAATTTCGGCAATAGCTCAGGTTTCCCACAGCTTTTTCCCCCAATCGAAACGTGCTGGAATCTTCTGGAACCTGCAATTGCAGCTAGTGATCTGCAAATGGCAGAATAATTACTAATTCAAATTTGTCCTGTGCGAATCACATCGGTGAAACATCAGTGCTTGACCGGCAACTTGCTTTTGCAGGTTGCAGATTCCTCTGACACACTGCCTTTGGACTCCGCCAAAACCACATCATCACATTTGCAGTCGTGCGAGATCATCTCCAAGCGCTTGTAGTCCCATGCCGGCAGGTAGCTTTCAAAGTGGAACAGCATGCAGCTGAGGCACCTTTTTTCGTCCACATAGCACTGAAGGGATTCCACATAGCCCCCCTTCTTGGGATTCGACATGATCGTCAATCAAAATTTCAAACCAAATTGAT